ATTGGCTCCAATTTTCTGGAGCCTTCTAAAATGAAATAAAATTAATAAAATATCCCTAACTTTAAATGTTAATAACTCCGTTTCACAAACGGTTTACTCCTACGCATTCGTGAGATCGAGCTCTCTTCAAAAAATATAAATTGTGACCTCGAGAGGGCTACGGATTTTAGATAATTAATTTTCCAAACTTTAAACCTCGTAACTAGTTTAATTTAAAACTTAACTCACATCAATTATTATAAATTCTTGAAAAATCAAATAAAAGCTCAATACTACAATTACGTTAATTGTAATAATTTCCCACTTCTATTTCCATAACCATAAATCGATTTATTTTCGATTTTCTCTACGTATTCATAATTATGAATATTTAATTCATATATTTAACTTTTCAGGGTATTACAGGATATGTGGAGTCTTGAAAAGAAAAATAAAGGGTAACATATAACGTTAAAATGTATAGATATTTTTTAAGTTTTTTTTAGGCATATATAAAAAAATATAGGCTTTTTAGCTAAATTGGTCCCTGAGATTTGCATAACATATCACTTTGGTCCCTGAGATTGAAAATCAATAGAAATGATCCCTGAGATTGTCCACCATCCATTGTTTTGGGTCCTTCCATTAAAAACTCCGTTAAGTGTCCCAGAGCTCTTGGCCAAAAGTCTGGGCAATTTTCAAAGCTTTGTAACTCAATCGTTTCTTAACAAAATTCCACCCATAATATATCAAAATGAAGATAAGAAAGTGTAGAACAAGATTATACCTATTTGGAAGCCCAATGTTTGCCGGAGATATTCGGAAAATAGCCTAAAAGGTAACTAGTCCACAGGAAAACTCGCTGAAAATTGGGTAAACTTTAAACATTCATAACTTCTTCAATACTCAACGAAATCGAGTGATTTATAGTTACCTTTTTCGACGGCTGAATCATCGTGGTTTGACTGGAAAACGGCTCGAATGTGGCTATCTTGGTCTCGAGTTAGCCACTTTCGAGCCGTTTTTCGGCGAAACCATGGCAAAATAGCCATCAAGAAAGGTACCATTCTCTTTATCTCGTTGAGAAGTATGATTTTCGTTTTTGAATCACTTGATTTTGTTGAGTATTGAAGTTATGAACATTTAAAGTTTACCTAGTTTCCGGCGAGTTTTCCAGTTTTCCAACAGACCAGTCACATTTCAGGCTATTTTCCGGCCATCTTTGGCAACCATTGGGCTTCCAAATAGAGATAATCTTGTTCTACTTTTTCCTATCTTCATTTTGATATATTATGGGTCGAATTTGGTTAAGAAACGATTGAGTTATGAAGCTTTGAAAATTTCCTGAACTTTCGGCAAAGAGCTTTAGCACACTTAGGGGAGTTTTTAGTGGAATGACCAAAATAATGGATGATGGACAATCTTAGTGACCATTTCTATTGATTTTCAATCTCAGGAACCAAAGTGATGTGTTATGCAAATCTCAGATACTATTTTGGCTAAACAGCCAAAAATATAAAAACATTATCTTTATACTTATCTTTAGTTTTTTTAATATCTATAAAATAATATGAAAAACAAAACTTAAAAAAGAATATTAAAATAATGTGTTGTTACAGCGGTTAGTAAACTGAAAAAAAAAATTAAAAAAGAAAAAGAAAAATCAGCCAATAAGTTCTCAAATTCTTCATCTTCTTCAAAATACTTTGCAACTCAAAACAAAACCCAGATTTGAACAATTTTTTTTTTCCAGATTTCGGCAACTTTTATACAAAACTAATGCCCAATCGAACGCTCTGAGGCGTGCCTCGATGAAGTTAGGCAAGTTTTCCGCCGACTCCCACAAAACAGAGCTGGCAAGCCACCCTCCTAGCTTCCGATGTCGCCTAGGTGCGCCCGAGGTGAGTATTTTAAAACACTGATCCTAGTACACTATGTAATCTTATAAGATCAGGAAGATCTTTCCTATTAGAGTTTGTATTACTTTGGAAAACAATTTTCTGTCTCCCAGCACAATTTGTGAGGAAATCACACACCCATTTCGCTCTTTATCGATTTCCCTCTCTATAAATGTATGTCACAACACATTATCAACATGTTCTTAACACCACACTAAAGAGAGTTGTACATCTTCAATCCAGTGAGTACTGCGTTTCAATCACTCTTTTGTGATGGACTTTTTATTTATGTTGAACTTGATACTAAGCATTGAAGAATTATAGGGTTTAATTCAAAAAGTTCTAGATCACATAACAGCCTATCAATTTGAATGAGGTGTTCATTTTACGAATTGAAACAATCTGGGTGGATATGGTTTACTCGTCTAAGTGATTATTTGATCAGTTGGGAAATGAGAATAAACTATGCCATTGCGTGTTAATTAAGAAGTCATATTCCAAATTTTTAGAGTTGCAGTCTATGTCGATGATATAAATCTCACTAAGACTCTGAAGTGCATGAGAAAATTCCCTCACACTTAAATCAGAATTTGAGATGAAGGTTCTTGGAAAAACTTGTTTATATATTAACCTAAAGTTCAATCGTTGCTCTGACGATATTATGGTCCACCAGTCAAACTACACCTAAAAGTGTTGCTTTGAGTACACCTATGATCACCCATATGTTAGATGCAAATGAGACCCTTGAAGATGTTGTATAACCTAAAGTTCAATATCTAAGTTCAATTGGCACTTTATTGTACTTAGTTCATTGCTTTAGGCAAGACATCTCATTTGTAATCGATTTGTTGGTAAAGATAGAGCATTGCGCCTACACGCCGCCATTAAATTGGTATTAAAGACATTTTTTCCATTGTTATGGATTTGGGCTCATCTATACGCATTTGGAGTGGATCAAACTTCATTGATCATTGGACCGATGCTTGCCTATTTTGTATGCTGATGTAGGTTACTTATCAAATCCGCAAAAAGCACGTTCTCAAGTGGTTATGTCATTACTATTAAGAATACCGTAATATTTTGAAGGTCCACGAAATAGACGTTGGTTACGAAATATTTGAATCATGCCAAGCCTACTACACCTCCCTAGATCACACGTGAGAGAGATGGTTGAGAGCTCTAATTGAGCGTATTTGAAGTACCTGCAATTTTTCATTGAGTATATTTGAAGTACTTGCGATTTTTCATCCATCGTTAAGTCCCAAAGACAATGTAGGAAGACAATGCCGCATGTATTGTCCAGACCAAGCAAAGATACATCAACAAAGTAAAAAACAAGCTTATTATGTCTACATCACTTCATGAAAGCATTAAAAGATTAAAGTCAAGCATATGCAACCTAAGACAACCTTGTCGACCTTTTCACGAAGTAACAGTCAAAGGCAACCTTCTAGAAGCTTGTCTGAGGCATTGGTATGCATAACTAACTCATTTGCAACACTTGTAGTTCTCAAAGGGAGTTTTGTCGAACTCAGAGAGAGAGTGTCTTGATGTATACTCGCTTGACCTTAATGTACTCTTTTTCTCTTAGATCATGAGCATTTTTTCCACTAGGTTTTTACTAACCTGACGAGGTTTTTACTAGGCACCCACATTGGGATTGTCATATCCTTATGTGCGTTTTCCACTACTTGCATCATGAAGATGTTAGCTTACCTTTTTCTCATTGAACTATGGACTTTGTCCTGTTGATTTTTACCATGTTTTGATGAGACTTACTCTTATGTGCAATCCCTATACGAGACTCATGTTTGCCACTTGTTCCTACTAGACGACACGACTTTATCAACTATTGTTAATTTACACGAAGATCAGATGCGTCACCTACTTGAGTATTTACACACTCAAATGGGAGTTTTGTTGTTATAATTACAGCACATGTGTGGTTATGTAATTCCTAGTAAATTACATTGTTCTAAAAATCCCTAGCATCGTCTATGACCCGGCCTGCTTAGAAGCTACATGGTTAACTACCATCTCAATTAATCCCTAGGCGTTTGAAAATTAAGAAAGGGCGTCTAAACATGCTTAGGCACCTGTCTAGGTTGTAACTCTCACTTAGACAGAAAAGAGATAACTTTCATTTTGCATTTTATAATTTTCAATAAATTGTGAGAGACTTATTGAATATTTAGATGAACACACATTTTTTGTTTGATCCCCATATTTTTATTGTCTTCTATATGACATATATGTTTGTTCCTTATGTTTTCATTATGTTTGTTCCCCATGTTTTCATTATGTTCTACAATGTAGCTTTACTAGCACCACCCCTAGAATATGGGCTCATTTAAAAGTGCTTTCCGAATGAATGAAGCTACTTTTAGTGAAATATTTTTGGATTTCAAAAGTACTTGAAGTGCTTCATGCAAGAAGCACCAATCATGTGCTTCTTCTAAGAAGCACTTCAAGTGTTTTTTTTCCAAAATTCACCGATTCTATAAACATTTTCATCAAAAAGCATTCAGTCATTCTAAAAGCACTTCCAAACGATAACAAATTCCTTGCCATTTATAGGGTATTGTTTCCTATTGGTACATGAACCTTGTCAAGTTAATCATCAAATCCAAGGTTTTTCTCAACCGTATTCCATCTTCAGTGTTCCTTTTACAATTCTAAGCTTGTCACTCGACACTATCAGAAATCGACTTTTCCGCTGGAATGTTTGAAATCCAAACGCCAAGGTCCAAACAAAATCTACACTTCCACCCACCAATAACGAAAACGCATTGAATGTTGCATCAAAGAGGAACCTTGATGCATATAATCGTATGCCAGAATCTACTACAAATTGTAGAACCCGTCTAGCATGAGCATTAATGCGAAATTCGCAGAGTAAAATTGTGCAACCTTCTCAAGTCAATAAAATTTTGGAGATAAATTCAAGACATAAGAAGAAAGAGTAACAATGACTGAAGTATAAGAAGACTAGAGAATAAATATCGATCTCTCTCCCGTCACCAAAGGGGAGAGAGACCCCAAAGGGTACAGTTTCTCTTTAAAATCCTTAACAAAAACTCCAGAATTCCAAAGACTGATCGTACCAATAGTTAATCACTGATAGACCACAAGCACATAAAAGGCTTTATAGATAGACTCCTAGAAGTATGTCATCCATTAAACACACCACAGACCTCCCCATCGGCGTCCAAACTGTGTTTTAAGGCTCAAATTGAAACTGTTTCACACTTATGAATCAAATCCTAGCCATAAGAAACGATAGAAACACAGATACTCTACAGAACTACACAGAACTTTAGGGAGCTTCTGGCTTGTCGGTTTCCATTGGTTCTGTAGAAGCATGTGGAGCCTCATTGTTGTTGTCAGCAGGATTCCCCATGGGGCCAGCATCTTTGCCATGAGGTTGCTCATTTTCCTGAGAAGGTGGGGTTGGTGGACTTTCAGGGGCAGCTGGCTTGGTTAGTGCAGGTTTAGGTTTCGTCATTATCGGTTTGCAAAACCTGTTAACAGAAGTGGATAAAAGAAAAGATTACTACTATGTCAGATATCATAAAGCTTTCAAAAAAGACTAGCTTATTGCTACAGGATATGATTGTCTAAGACTACCAGCTCATCAACTAACCAAGGAAACAACAAATTCATCAATGCAGAAATAGTACCTATCAACTGCTTCAGCCTTCCGCCTCACATCAGCTGATAAGAGTACTGGGTTGGCATGTTTGGGGAGTGCATCTTGTTGTTGCTTCTTCTCTCTTAACCAGGCCTCAGCTTCAACACACTCATTTAATACCTAAATAACACAAAGAACATTGTGAGTTAGAATGGCCGAGAGTGAAAAAGGGGGAAGAGAGCTCATCGAGACCCTTACCTTCTGTTTATCAGTAATATCAATGTGTTCAAATTTTGCGTCACTCGATGTTGCAGCTTCTCTGTAACTATTAACACAGTAAGCAAGTTGATCAATCATTGTTCCCCTCTCCGTGTGTTCCTTGACCCGTTCTTCAATGGGATCACCTTGCTGTAATTTGACAAAATCATCCATCAGCTCTAAACAATCAAAACCAACGGCATCAAGTCTAATCGGTGCCCTCTCACAACAATTTGGAGAAAAACCACCAGAGAATTAAAAGAAAATCCTTACCTTCTTGAGTTCCTCAAGCTTGGCAATGTACACTCCTTTGGTTTCATCTTCACCATCTTCATACAGCCAATCCTCCACCTCTTGAAGTTTAGCAATAAATGCTTCCTTCTCCGGTTTAGTGACAAACTCCTGATACTTGTCATTGAGCTGGATACAAAAGATAAATTTAGTCATAAAATGGTAAAAAACAAGGGAAATGTTCCATGAACATATAAGCAAACTACCTTGTTTCTCATGTCATAGACATAGGCCTCGACAACATTTTTCTTGTCTTTTGTTTCTTCCATAACACGGTCTTGTAAGGCCATCTCAAACTCCTTCTCAATTGCCTTCTGCACTTCATTTGGAGGCATCCCTCCATAAACCAACTCTGTCACAGGAATATTTGTTTTCTTTACCTTTATCTTTTTAGCATCAGCCTACATCGCGAAAACAAAGACATCAAGGATGCAGCCCGCAAATGGAATCAAACAAACCACTGATAGCATTTACCATTCCAAAACAAAAAATTTAATTAACATTTAGCACAATCCATTATCTCTTCTCCATAGTGACATTAAATGTAGATTGTCCCTTGAGTAAAAGATTATGAAGAGCGCAGAATTTAACAAGCTTTCTCTGTAGTTAACATAGCTGAACATGTGAAGATTGATCAAATATAAGCTTAGCACAGTGGACTTTTAAGTATATCAAAGCACATCATAGAAACCTGGTCATCTTACACCATTCATCTCCCTTAGTCCAACAATGTTCACTCAAATCGAGTAGCTAAACATTATAACCAAAATGCATTGTTTGCTAAGTTATTGCCCGCCGACCCCTTCCCCAAGTTCCCCCACGTTGCAGTCCAAGGAAAAAGAACAAATAATTCATGGAAAACCCGCATATGAGTATGACAGAGAGAAGACAACTGACCTTCGCATCAGTTTCCATTTTCATAGGCTTGTCCCCTGACTCAGGAACACCATTTTCAGCACCTGGAGCATCAGCAGTGTCCTTAGCATCTTGCATGTTCACATCAGTCTCATTAGTACTTAGGGGAGCCGTATCACTGGGGGCCTCATCAGTCTCCATTTTAGCAGGCTCATTTGTTTGCTCTTTTGCGACAGGAACCTCAACTTCTTCTTCCACAAGCTACAGCACACGAAGAAAAACAAATAAAATTAGAAAGAATAATCAACCAATAACAACCATAAGCACAAAATTCTTTTAATAAACTTACAGTTGCCGAGTCTATAGACACTATCCCATGCAAATTCAGGCGAGCTTTGACCTTTAGTTTTGCCCGCTCACTTTTAGTAGACTGGAAAGGACCAATCTGCACATGTAGTATAGTATAACATTAACAAAAATCAGCATATAACCTATTAGTATTGAGACAACTTAGAGCAAGCTTATATTCGATCTTCCACTTACCGTATATGTGCTGATCTTTGCAGGTGCCTGTAAATCACTAACATCAGCATATTGAACATCAACTGAAAACGTGCTCGATCTGTAAAATGTAAGGGCCTTGATACTTGGAATAGGATTTCCTTTGGGGAAAACAATTGTACTTTGGTTGTTCTCAACTGCTCCGTTCTGGGCGTCAGGACTCGAACCTTTCCAAGACAAAGAAATCGAAAATGGGAAACTTTCATTCACCTTCACATTAAATGGGATAACATTAGTTAAAAACAAATCAGCAGGAAACATAATGTACTGCAAAAGTAGCAGGTTACACTATATATAGATTTGCTCAACTAATGGAAACAAATACAGATACAAGGAAAGAGTTAAACTCACCTGAAACTCTCTAACTTTGAATGTCGGACTAAGAATTGCACATTGCAAAGCACAACCCCTAGCAACGCATTCACTTGCATTCATAGTTCGCCTAGGCTCCTTTTTGAAGAAATCTGTCAATATCTTGATTATAGCAAGAACTCGAGAGCCTGAACCAACAACCTCAACCGTATGAATGTTCTCTATTGAAAGTTGTGCATCAAGAAGGGCCTTCTCCAAAGGTCCATTCACACGCTCCAAAATGGGAATACTAATTTGCTCAAATTCATCTCGCTTTATGAATCCCCTAACATCCTTCTCTTCCATTAAACACTCTATATTCAAAGGTGCCTCGGGATTTGCACTAAGCACCTTCTTCAGCTTCTCACAAGCAGTACGAAGACGAAGGCAAGCCCTTGCATTCTGGAACACATCAATCTTGTACTCTTGCTTGAATTTAGCTGCAAAGTGGTGGAACAGTGCTTCATCAAAGTCCCTACCTCCCAAAGACTGGTCAAAGGAATGAGCCAATATTTTCAACTGCCCCTTCTTAAAACCAGCAATGCAGACTTGCATGCTAGCATGCCCAATATCAACAAAGGCAACATTCAATTGTTCATTTTCTGGTAAATCCGTCTTGTAAATACCATAAGCTAAGGCAGTCGCTGTAGTTTCATGGAACAAGCGAAGAGGGTTCAATCCAGCAATTTTTGCTGCATCCATAACAGCTCTTCTTTGGAGATCAGTGAAATAAACTGGAATCCCAATACAGCAATCGACAACAGAAGCATTGAGATTCTTCTCAGCTATGATTTTCAGATTAGAGAACAACATTCCAAGAACTTGGGTAGGTGTAAATGTCTTTTCTTCTCCCAAATAATGGGCATGAATCAATGGATATCCATCAGGCCCTTCAGAAACAACAAAAGGTAATGACTTGATATCCCTCTGCAACACAGGATTCGAGAATTGCTTACCAATCATTCGTTTAATCTGGGAAATAGTGTTCTTAGGGTTCATCAATGCTGAAGCAGCCCCAGCAGTCCCAATAAACCGCTGCTTCTCACCGAAACAAACAAGGGCTGGAGTTTCACGTTTGGACTCATCATTAAGCACAATGTCAATACCCCTCTGCCTGGCTACGGCAACAATGCAGCTCTCGTTTCCAAAATCAAATCCAACCACGCTCATCCTTGCAGAATTTTAAATCTGGAAAATAAGTAAGACCCAAATTCAATAAACAACCAAAACTAGAATCCCCAATCAAGCAAAAGCCCATATTCATTAAACAACTGAATTCTAAATAAGTAACAGTAGTTTGATCATACAAACAACCAAAATTCCAACATTCTAACGATGAATATCTTCACCATCATCACGACGATTAGAGTACCAGAAACAAACAATATAGTCAGTAAAGGAAACAAAAATATAATACCATAAACTACACCTTCGCAAATCTTGGATAAAAAACCGTCCGTCCCCATTCAACATACATAACATACAAAACAATAATCTTAAAGAAAAAAAAGATTAAAAAACCATTACATAACATACAAAACAATAATATTTAAATAAAAAAAATTAAAATTAACCAAACCTAATTGCTAATTCAAGCCCACGCTAATCACTCAAGCAATCTATAAACATCATGATTATCTAATTATTAAAATCTCATCAAACTAATGGAATCATATGTTCACTGAAGTATAGCACAAACCCAAAAATAGCCAACCCAAAAGATATGAGAAAATAATTGAATCAAAGCAGAAAGTGATGCATTCCAACACCAAAATTACTTAAAACCCCAACCGAGGTTAAACCCTAAAGTAAAATATCCAAATTAGGAAACATAAAATCTACGGCAGATCTAATAACAATTTCACACAGAGTGTCACGCCCCGATCCAAACCTACGTCCAGGATCAACGCACGATAGTAAACTGTAGGGAGATGCCAGGAAACACAAACTAAAATACTGAACTGAAAATAACAATAATCGCATCTTTTTAAGGAAAAGCATACGGGTAACCTAACACTCTAAGCTCCTTGAACTCTGTTTGTTACCACAAAGCTCTTCGTATCTACTAAAACCTGCACAATCACCCCTATATTATAGGAATGGTGCACCGGACAAACAACAACCCAAATAAGCTGCGAAGCTCGTGTGAGTGACAATAATTCTACATATGTGATAATAATAAAAATCATCCATCGATCACGGTTGATAAACATCAAATATAAAATCATATTTTATGAAATCATAATCAAGTCGCTGAAAATCTTGAAGGAGTCACCCAGACATCCAACAACTCATTTGAAACAAGTCACAAAAGCTCACAACCATAAACTCATACAACACAATGAAAAGTAGGGCTAGAGCGACACAATTCGGCCGAAGCCTACATCTTTGAAGCTATCTCAATCCAAACTTAATCCGAAGAATCAACAAAGCAATTAATCGGGTACCAAACCTCTTAACGGAACCAAAACACCAAGCGAGATTCCGGACCACTCAACGAAATCCAACCAAGATACGATTCTGGACCACTCAACGGAATCGTGAAGTAGAAGGGATTCCGGACCTCTCAACAGAATCGTGGTGTACAATGAATATCGAACCACTCAATGAAATCCATGATTCCAAACCACTCAACGAAATCATGGAGTACGAGGTATTCAGACCTCTCAACAGAATCCAGATGGAGCAGGGAACCGGACCACTCAACGGAACCCCAGCGGAAACCCAGTTCCGGATCACTCAACGGAACCGAGCGAAAGACCAACAACCATAATGTACAACGGCTCAATGAAACGAGACAAGGCATACGCTACTCAATTTACAAAAACTCAATGAAACAAGAAATGGAACAAAGCACAAGGTACACAATTAGAACAACTCAACGAAACGAGAAATGAAATAACAATACGATATGTGAAACAGGTTTCTAAGCAACAAACCCCATGACAACAGGTTCAGGGTCCACTACTAGCCCTCACATTTCATCACAACATGTCAATCATACAAATCAAACCATATTTCAAATATACATGTTAAATCTCATTCCATAAACATAAATCGATGATTAAGTATTAAAAATAATAATTCAATAGAAAACATATTTATAAAACCAAGTCACATCCACACAGGATAACAATTATGAAAATAGGGCAATCACCAATATCATATATATTAAAGTCACTCACCTGGAGCCTGCACTACGAATCCCTAGCTCGAATATTGAGACGTCCACGTCCGATCGTCGCCTAAAACAAATACCAAATCACGGCTCAAAATTTATCAATATAACAAGTAATTGTAGCTTGTACATGTCATCTAGGACATGCTAGATGAATTCAGGATCCATTGACCAAAAGTCAATTGTGGATCAAAGGTCAACCGTCGGGTCTACAACCCTAGCAATTCAATCTGGCACATATCTGATTTCAGATCCGTAACTTGCAAAAGTCCTCATTATACTCATAGAACGACATACTAAAATTTCATTGTGATCCAACGGTCGGATCTCCACCAATCACAAATTCAATTGACGGTCAATTATCCAATCAACTACAAAGCTACGTTAAAACATTCGAATTTCACTAAACGGATGTCAAAAAATGATTCAAAACGTTGTATTACCTAAGATAGGTCATGGGCCAAAACCCGAAAAAAAATCAACAAAAGCCAATGGTCAATATAGGGAATATTCCAAAGAACTCTTCTTCCACCTCTCCTCCGATCGTCAGATTCTGCAGATTTTGCAGAATTTCTGGGCAATCTTTAGAACTCCGTATCTCACTGGTTTTTCAACCAAATTCGACTCATAATATACCAAAACGAAGCTAAAGAAATGTAGAACAAGATTGTACCTGCTTGACACCCAAATGGTGGCCGGAGGTGGCCGGAAAATGGCCTGAAAGACGACTGTCCGCGGGAATACTGGTAACTCGCCGGAATTTCTGGGCAAACTTTAAACGTCCATAACTTTGTCAATACTCAACGAAATCGAGTGATTCAAAAACTAAAATCATATCTTGGAATGAGACGAACAGATTGGTACCTTTTTCGATGACTAAATCGCCTTAGTTTGGCTGGAAAATGGTCTGGAAGGTCACGGGTTCGCCAGAAACTGGACAAACTTTAAATCGTTTAGCTTTCTCATTTCTCAACCAAATCACACTATCCAAACATGAAAATTCATCTACACATCATGAGGAATCCAATTATGGTGCTTACAGGTCTCACCTTGGTCAGAATATACGGGAACTTGACCTGCAAAGTGACGGCTCAGATGGAAGTTCTTGATTTATTTGATCCCAAGGTAAACTCGAGCAGCCAACACATGAAACAGGTTCCTGGGATGATGTTGAACACAGTGAGTATGTTTGCAAGGTATAATGTGCTGGAAAAGAAATGGTGGTGGATGATGGCCTGTCTCGGTGAAGAAGAGTGAATGAGAGGGAGAGTAACGGGAGACAGAAGAAGAAGGGGAAAGAAGCCTCTGCGGGAACGCTTTTGTGGAGACACGGAGAAGGCTTTTGGTAGGATTTTTGCTTTTTATATATTTATGAATTTAATCAGTTTAATGTTGGGAATTAGTGTGGGGTTTTATAGAGTTTGAGGTCAGGTGGTGCTAGAGGTGTCTGGAGAGATGCTCGTCCTTCTGGAAACGTCTTCCGAAATTCGGGAGAGAGGCAAAGCAGGAATTTTCGAGTGGTTTTATTTTATTATTATTCTTCTTCTTCGTATTTGCATCGGTTTGAAGGAAGTTTATGAGCTCATTTACAAGAGCTTCTAGTCCACACTAAAATTACATGACTATTGGGTTTTAGGTTTATGGTCCCATTTACAAGGATTTCTAGTCCACAACAAAATTACACGATGATTTATTTATAATTATTTATTTTAACAACTGAAATGTAAAACAATATAGAGGAGGATGTGTGGTCATAGTCACATTAGTTAAGGTAGGTGTGCTCATTTTATACACTCGAGTTCGTATCTTTTTACAGTAATTTAAATTAGTTAGACTATCTTCAAAAGACCTCCAAATAAGATGTCAAAAATGCCACATAGACTTATAATGGTAATAAATGACATATCATTTATTCCAACATGTCAAAGTTGACATGGAAAAGAATAGGGTAAAGTACAAAAAACTACCTCAACTATTGGGGTCATGATAGTTTCATACCTCATCTTTTAAAATTGACAATGTCATACCGCATCTTACGAATTTGTGAAAATGTCATACCTCCGTCAATTTTTCTATTAGTTTTTCTGTTAAATGCTGACGTGGCAAGAGATGGGGACCACTTTCTATTAAAAAATTAATAAAATATTATTAAAAACTAAAAAAAATATTTAATATTTTTTAAATATTAAAATAATAAATAAAAGTAAAATTAAAAAAAAGGGTAAAGTACAAAAAACTACCTCAACTATTGGGGTCACGACAGTTTCATACATCATCTTTTAAAATTGACAATGTCATACCGCATCTTATGAATTGTGACAATGTCATACCTCCATCAATTTTTCTGTTAAGTGCTGACGTGGCTAGATTCGGACCTACTTTCTATTAAAAAATTATTAAAAACTAAAAAACAATTATTTAATATTTTTAAATATTAAAATAATAATAAAAAGCAAAAAAAAAAAAAAAAACCCTCATTTCGTCCCTCCCCGCCCCCCCTCCTCCCTCCTCTCTCCTCTTTCCTCTCCACATCTTCATCTTCTTCCCCCACCTGCAAAAAAAAAAAAAAAAATCCAATTTGTCTTCCCCCCACACCCACCCACACTCTTCTCCTTCCTGCAACCCAGGAAAAAAAAAAAAAAAACCCCAGATCCCGTCGGCGGGAAGATGGGTGAGCAGAGAAGGTGGAGGATGAGTGCGGAAGAGGATGTGGAGAATGGATGAAAGTGGTGGATTTGGGGTTTGATGGGTTTTCAAATTTTTTTTTTTTCCTTCTTTTTTTCCTCTTCTTCTTCTTCTTCTTCTTCTTCTTCTTCTTCTTCTTCTTCTTCCGCAAGGGAGTTGATGGTTTAAAAAAAAAAAAAATATTCCTTCCTCCTTTTTTTTCCTCTTCTTCTTCTTCTTCCTCATTCTCCTTCTCCTTCTCCTTCTTCTTTTTCCGCAGGGGAGTGTTGATGGGTTTTCAATTTTTTTTTATTTTTTCTTCTCCTCCTCCTTTTCTTCCTCTTCTTCTTCTTCCTCCTTCTCATTCTCCCTTCTTCTTCTTCTGCGCCGACAGGGGGGAATTTTTTTTTTTCCTTCCTCCTTTTTTTCCTCTTCTTCTTCTTCTTCCTCCTCCTCCTCCTCCTCCTCCTCCTTCTCCTTCTTATTCTTCCGCAGGGGGGTTGTTGGGTTTTCAAAAAAAAATTATTTTTTTATTTTTTTGGGTTTGCAGGTGGGGGAGAAGAAAATGAAGATGGGGAGAAGAGAGAGGAGGGGGAGGGGGAGGGGAAGGACGAACTGATGGGTTTTTTTTTTCTCTGCTTTTTATTATTATTTTAATATTTAAAAAATATTAAATAATTTTTTTTTAGTTTTTAATAATTTTTTAATAGAAAGTATGTCCCGAATCAAGCCACGTCAGTACTTAACAGAAAAATTAACAGAAAAATTGACGGAGGTAGGACATTGTCACAAATTCGTAAGATGCGGTATGACATTGTCAATTTCAAAAGATGAGGTATGAAACTGTCGTGACCCCAATATTTGAGGTAGTTTTTTGTACTTTACCCCTTTTTATTTAATTTTACTTTTATTTATTATTTTAATATTTAAAAAATATTTTTTTTAGTTTTTAATAATATTTTAATAATTTTTTAATAGAAAGTGGTCTCCGTCTCTTGCCACGTCAGCATTTAACAGAAAAACTAACAGAAAAATTGACGGAGGTATGACATTGTCACCAATTTGTAAGATACGGTATGACATTGTCAATTTTAAAAGATGAGGTATGAAACTGTCGTGACCCCAATAGTTGAGGTAGTTTTTGTACTTTACCCAAAAGAATAATAAGCTGATGTGGACAAAGAGATATCAAAAGGGATGTGATATCCACACACCCCATTTTACTCCTCACACACTTTTTTAATTTTCGGTCATCGAATCAGATAAATTGAAGAAGATCAACGGACAGAAATTATCAAGGGTGTGTGATAAGTAAAATGGGGTGTGTGGATATCACATCCTTATCAAAATTGAAGCTGCCTTCAACTATGGTTTTTGTTATTTCTAAAGAAATTTCACTTGCCTTACCTTAAATGCTAGCATATTTAAGTATTATTTTATTATTTTTTAAAACCAACAACAACCCAACTATTATTATTTTTGTTTAAAAAATATATAAATGAAGCAATAAATTTTGGCATATTGGGTCAAAGAAAAATATTGACAACATGCCAAACTGCTAAGTCAGCCAACAAATTGAAATTTGATGTTTTGAAATTGACGTATCTTTTAGAGATGCTCTTAAAAGTAGAATACATACATACATATATATATATATATATAACTTTACTCTTAAGCCATATGTCAATTAACATATTTTTGTTTTGGACTTAATCAATGATATATTTTTATTAATTACGCATAGGTCACTGATGAATGCAACATAGGTTTAAGTCATTATAAATAGTTAGAATTTGACTATTCTATCATTTTCTCTCTTTCTCTCTCTATGAATGTCTCTAGATCAATTTTGTGGAGATCCTCCGGACCGATGGATCTTTTCCATTAATACAAATCCAACGGCCAAAATCACTTATCCTTCCTATTTTCCCCTCAACTCTTCTTTTTCTCCCTTCGAAGCTCTCAACCTCGAACATCCAACTCCCTAAATTCCAAATTAAATTCAACCCCACCTCAAAATCAACCCCAACACCACCACAACCCCACCCAACCCACAACCACCAATTGTAGGTCCCTTACATTACCCTCTCCAAAATCAGCCCCAACATCGCCACATCCCTTAATTGCAAGTCCATCAACCTTAAAATCTCAATCAATGTTAACAAAACAACAAAGAGAGGGGTCATGCAAACCAATGTCTTTTGGTTGCAAAGTTCTTTTTCAAAACTATGGAAGAATTATAAAGAGAAATCTCAAATATGAAGAAGAAGAAGAAGAAGAAAGAGATGACAAATAAAAAGCTAAAACAACAAGGGATAGCAAAAAAAAAAAAAATCAGACTTAGAGCACAGATGACTTGCAATTGAATTTGGGGTTGTTAACAACAGTGGGGTGTGGAGGTGCAAAGGAGAAAGAAAATTTAAGGGGGAAGAGAGGCGGAGGAAGAGGCTTTGGTTTCTATTCCTATGAAACTGATCTTGAGAGGATCGGAATCCTATAAATAGTTAGAACATGTATATTCTATCACTTTTTCTTGTTCTTTGTTTACATGGAAGAGTATGCTTAACTAAAAAAAAAAAAAGAACCAGGAAACGGACACTACATTACAGTGATCAAATCTAAATATAAAAAATAGAACTAGGAAACAAACACTCCATTGCAGTGCCCGAATCCAAATGTAAAAAAAAAATAAAAGCAAATAGACACTGCATTACAATGTCTGAATCCAAACGTAAAAAATAGAGCCAAGAAAAGAACACTGCATTACAGTGTCTAAATCTAAATATGAAAATCAATAGTCGTGTGACGTGTGACGTGTGAGTAATGAAAAAAAATAGAACAAGGAAACAGACATTGCAACGCAGCGTCTAAATCAAAAAGTAAAAAATAGAACCAGGAAACGGACATTGCATTGCAGTGTTTGAATCCAAATGTATAAAGGAACATGTAGGAGGCATGTGAGTAATGGAAAAAATGAAATCAGTAATGTCTGAATCCAAATGTAAAAAATAGAATCAAGAAATTGCAGTGTTTGATCCATAATGACTTATTTCAAATATAAAACCATGAGAAATAGAGTGTTAGTTGAAGTGAGTGCCAGCTGTACTGCCAGATTTTGTAACTTTTGTTTATTTTAAATGTATTTAAGTATCACAATACATGATTAATCTATTTATAATTAACATAAATATTGTTGATCTATTGTTAATATTGTAACTTATTATTGATTTTTCACAAAAGCATCCATATATATATATATATATATATATATATATATATATATATATAGGATAAATTACATTTTACCCCCTTAAGTTTGGGATCTATTTCAATTCCTTACAACATCTTTAAAACATTTCAATTTCATATCTCCATTAGAAAATCCATTAAGTAAACTGTTAAGTGATGACGTGACAAATATGAGATCCACATTTGTGCTGACGTGGCTACCAAATTTGTGCCACATGGAGGAAAAATAATTTTTTATACATTTAAAATATTATAATAATTTACCCTATTTAAAAAAAAAACAAAAACAAAAAAGAACCCATTTTCTTCACCGAGCCCTTCCCTTTCCTTGCAACCTAAATACCCCACCCCACCCAAAAACCACATGTTTCCTACCTCATCACCCCCACCCTCTTTCGACCCAGAACAAAACCCATTTCGAATAAACCCAATCATACGCGCCCTTAACCCACAATGGCGACGCCCATAAATACTCCAGATGCGGCACCCCAAAGTGCCAGCCTTTGAAATACACCGCCACCTCAAACCCCAGAAGGAACACCGACAGCCACAGGAACATCTTGATGCAGAAATAGAACCGACTCTACACAGTCGAGTTCTCGACTTCCCTGACCCTGGTGGGCTCAACGTCGACGTTGGTGTCCATCCTGTCGGAGGCGATACGTTGGCATCGGTGTCC